GTTTCTACGCTGCAGGTGAATTTCCGTAAGGGTGAGTTCTATTCAGTTTATTGGTCATTATTGTTTTATTAATTTCACCGAACTACAATCACTTCTCGTTTATTCTTTGTTACATTACCTTTTCGTTCACACGTTATTTGAAAAGAAAATTTACAAATTCGTGAAAAGGAATTTACAAAAATGTAAATGTGCATTCGTCTTTTTACGTTAAACATAATTTGCCTACATTTACGTTTCATTTACTAATCTCTTTAAATAACAAACGACAAATGATAAAAAGTAGGATTTTATTTGTTACGTCTTGTTTATTTGCTATTATTATACGCGGTTTCCTGCGATGCATGGTAACCTACTTGTTCGGAGCATCGTAGTACAAGCGTAGCGCGTAGCCACCGCTAGCGCGGGAACTCTGCTGGCAAACTCGCGCTCTGATTGGTCGCGGTTTTTTGTTAATATCTCGTAAACGAAGCCTCAGTTTAAATTTTTATAAGGAAAAAGTTGTTCCAATTCACCCCCCGAGTGCCACATTTCCGGGTCGGAGGACATTTTTGGGACACCCTGTATATATTTAAGTTATAACCTTCATTTAAGTCCATACTATTTATATATCTGCATATTTTTAGAAATAGATATATTCACTTTGTAATGGTAAAAGTTCTTTGTCTGAGATTGTAAAAATTATTTTTGTATTATAATATTTTTTATGTTACATTTATTGTTACTTTATAATTTAGTTTTTGTGTTTTACTTTTTTGTATTAATGTCTCCACAATACATTTTAAAAACAAGTGTAATATGTATATAGTTTATTAAGTCAAATGTAACAAGGATCTAGCTAGAATTATGTTTTAAATATTAAGTAATTTTGTTTTTATTGTTTAATATCTTCTAAACAACTGTACTATTTAACTTAACTGTTATTATACATACATTTTAAAGCAATATGTTGAATGTTTATTATATCATTTATATAATCATTTTATTACATTACACAAACAGTTACTTTTTTAAACGATGCAAAATATATTTATGTTTCTATGTTTCTTAATATTTTATAATCATTGTCTCAATTTGTATTTTACAAGAAAATGATAATATAATTGTATATAATTTTCTTTAATTCTGCATGTTATACTTCATTGTCACCCAGTATATAACACATTCTACCGTCCACGTAACACAAAGCAAGAAAGTGGGGGAATCAGGGGTTCGAGAGACCTCGCCTGCTCATTCGGGATGCGCGAAACAGTTATGGTCTTATTTGGTTTTTAGTATACATTATTTAGCATTTTCAGATACATGCATTTGTGGTCCAAATTATCACAGTATTTTATTTAAATTATTGTCAATTTGTTCGAATATTTTATTATATGATTATGTGATGTTAGACCGAGTTTGAGCGCAAGCGACTGTAAAAGAATCGAAGTTTGAGCCCCGTTGTCGCTGCGCTTTTAATTAAATCACGACCCTAACGTTTTCCAGGACTCAGGCAGATTTAGGATCGTTGCGAGAAAGTGACTCGTGATTAAGTCGCGCAGTGTTAATTTATTTTTGCAACAAAACTACAACTTGTACT